TAAGTTTCTGGTGCTTCACTTCCTGAGACAGTTGTAAGCACTGTGTACCTGCCTCGAGGGTGCTTGACCATTTTAACACAACGTGGTGCGATCATCCCCCTTGCGCGGAGTGAGGGTTCTCGACCCCGCACAACATGATCTACTCGACCACCATTATGGTTATCGCCAAAAAAAATAACAGAGGTAAAAAGCAAAACGGTCACCTGGTTGCCGAGTTCACGAAGTGAATTGGCTTGTTTCACAACGTCGTTGCCAAGCGACGAAAACCCAATCCCGATGGCAAAGACAGAGGGGGGGGCTTGTTTCACAGCGTCGTTGCCAAGCGACGAAAACCCAACCCCGATGGCAAACACCGGGCGGGGGGGGGGTGGGCTTGTTTCGCAGCGTCGTTGCCAAGCGAAGAAAACCCAACCCCGATGGCAGACACCGGAGGAGGGAGGGGGGGGTGTTTCCTCAGCCTGGAAAAGAACAACAACAAACGTCAGGTATAATTAGAGGGCAACCCAATAATACACTTGAAATAATGATAGACTCACACAACAGCACCGAACAACACACGGCAAAATGGTACAAACTTATCGCAGTATCGCCTACGGCAATGAGCGACACACAAATTTGGCATTAGTCATCCGTCTACAGCAGTAATGCGGTCGATGCTGCTCAAAGAGGAAAAATACAAAAATAGCGTGTGTACACTCGTGGAGGTTATCGAAGGAAATGAAAGCGCACCGTTGTGTGGTTTATGGTGTTTGATCACGTAGGGATACATTTTACGAGAAAACACGCCAGCGCTAAAAGGTAGGCTAAGCACTTCATATGTTGCGCACCTTTGGTTTTGGGAGCTTGATCCGCTCGAGGTGCCACACACTCTCCTGCGCTCTCCGGAAGCCCTCGTCCTCGATGTTGGAGGCCTGCGCGTAGTGCAGTTCCTTGGACTTCGCTATGAAAGGATGCGCGCCAGGAGTCTGCAATTCGTCCACGCCACCACCCAACTCCGACTCCGAGTCATAGTTGCCTGCCTCGACGCTGCCCCTAACTCCAAGAGCTGCACCTGACGCCGTCTTTCGGCGCTTCCGTAGGCCGTCATGATGCTTGCAAAATCCTGCCGTCCTACCTCCAACCTTGTTGCCGCACTTTTCGCCACGTCATGCGCCGCGGCTAATGAAAGCGACACATACAGCCGGGCTTGCCGGAGAAGAATCCGGCGGGGATGGTTGCTGCTGCTGCTGCTGCTGCTGCTGCTGCTGCTGCTGCTGCTGCTGCTGCTGCTGCTGCTGCGCCTCACACGCTGTCGTAGAGAGCCGGTCCGTGACCGGTACCTCCGGGGTCCCCTGTTGTGGCCGCTGTTGCCCACCTACGCCGCGGGTGTTGTGACCAGCGTCATGCGAGTTCGGTACACTTCCTAGATCCAAACGCCCCGGCGGAGATGGTTGCTGCTGCTGCTGCTGTTGCCGCTGCCGCTGTTGCGACCCGAGCGAAGTCGTCTGGAGCGGCGGCGTGACCGTTGATGCCGGCGCCTGTTGTTGTTGTCGTGGCCGCCAAGCTGCTCCCCGGGTATTGTGACCAGCTTTATGCGAGTTCGCAGCATATATCGGTTTGTACGATGCGCCTATATCAAACTCACAGTCATCCTCATCATCACTCGGCACGCTTGGGTCGATTGCAGATCCACTGTCCTCCATCCCAAGCTCGCTGTCCTCAGTGTCCGCGTTCATAGCAAGTGTGGATGGCTGCCGGAGAGTGACGGCCAAAGCCGATGTACGAGCAGGAATGGCAACTGGCGCTGCCGGCAGTGCTACCGCAAGCGCTACCAACAACGCCGCCCAGATAGACAGGGCAGACCACGCGGGGCGTGGAGGCCTCCTCATGACCTCTCGGCGCACCTCTGGTGGTTGCTCCGTGTGTTTGCAGCTGTGCGTTGGTGGGGCGGGCGCGCTCTACCCTGGTGTGGTCTACAACTCCTTTGCATGTGGTTCGGGGTTTCTGTCGTATCCTCCCCTATACGACTAGACCGTCTGTTCAGCGCTATAAAAAAAGAACATGGAAAAAATGATCAATCAATGATCTGTCAGAAGGCCTGTAGACTCTAAAGGGATAAGTGGTGTAAAAACAATACTCCCAGATCAAGCGGGACGTTCACCGAAGATACCACCCCCCCGCAAGTGTCAGCACTTCCCGGCGACCATATCATTAGGCCCCAGCGATACCACCGCGGGTGTTACCCCCCGACCTTTATTCACCCACCTACAGGCGAACGCACGCCTCCGCCCTGAAAACGATCGACCTCATTCCCGCGTGCGTGCCTCCCCAGCAGGCAAAGGGCTCTAGTGTCGCCCATCGATGCCTCCCTGACTCTGTGGAGCGACGGGAGACGGGAGCGCGTGGCCGAGCTCGAGGAGGAGCTCCGACTGTGGGACGCCAGGCGGCGGCAGCAGCAGCAGCAACGGCGAGAAGAGGATGAGAACCAGGAACAACAGCAGACGAGGCGACATCGCCAGGAGGGTGAAAGCGCGACAGGGAGAGACGCCACGCCAGCCGGACAAGGAGGAGGAGGAGTAGGAGGAGGAGTAGGAGGAGGAGGCGAGAGCGTTGCGGCCGCGCCCACCACACCAGCACCGACGGCGGCGGCAGGGGGGGCACCGTCGCCAACCCCAACGGCCAGAATCCCAAGAGCAACAGCACAGCCGCCCAGTCGAGACCACCACGGCGGCGGTGCAGCACCAGCACCAGCACCAGCACCAGCGGTAGCAGCGGTAGCAGTAGAAGGCACCGCTACTACTGCAGGGGCAAGCGCCAGACCTGGCGACGCAGCAGGCGCTCGGGATCGTCGCCACCCTCGCGGTGGTTCTTCCTCGACCACCCTCGAGGACAGGCTGGGGCGGTGGGGTGCCGGGTGGAGGCCGCCGCCGTTGCGGCCACTTCCCCGGGGGGGGGAGGGGTTTTTCTCGGGGTGGACTCACTTGGGCCAGCCGGAGCGGTTCGAGCTGGTGAAGAGCGCCAACAGGTGAGCAGCGAACAGCGTGCAGGGATCGTGATGTGCTGTTTGTTAAACCCCGTAGCAAGGCATAGTCCCTCCGAAGCTCGGCCCTAAATATTGTGAGAGAGACGTATCCGGCTGTCTGTCTCCCTGGGCACTTGCCAACTTCTGAAGGCATTGCGGGAGTATTCCCTTCTTCAATCCCTCGACATCAGGGAGCTACGAAAACTGAGAGGCCTCCTCGATATCTGGGTCAGTCGGGCAGAACGATGCTCCCCCCCCCCCCTTTATGGAACGCGGCGCGCGCTTGNTATGGAACGCGGCGCGCGCTTGTTCCGGCGCTGCCGCGAATAGTGCGGCGGCGGCGTAATCAGGACACGTCCTTCTTGCTCGTCCACGATTGGCTCATTTTTTTTTTCAGGTCGGTCGGGCCTGACGGGGAACCCCTTTCGGACCCGGAGCTGGAATGGGCGGTGCTGTGTCTCGAGGAAGCCGAGGAGCGCATGTCGGCCATGGATTTCTCCACAGCGGCAGGCATTCTCGAGGGCGTGCTGGGAAGGTGGGTTCGGTTTCTCGACTCCGCCGCCGTTTTCCTGAGTTCCTGACACCTGCAGTATGACTCCGAGTCAACGGACGTGTTTTCCTACTACTTGAGTAGACTTCCTTGACTTCATTTAGGAGGAAATTTAAAAAGCAAGAGGTAATAAGAAAGCTGTCGGTGACGGACGGGGCCAGAAGGGCGGGGACCCTTGGGTAATGGATTGCGCACCTGGGCTGGTCGTTCGTTGCTGGGGTTCCAGAGGCGAACAGTCTCTCGAATGGTTCCCTCAGTGGGCATGCAGGGGTTTGTCGTGCTGATGTACCGGCGCCGGGGCGCTTGGCTTGATCGATAGCATGCTAAGCAGCCGCCATCGGTAGGGACAACGGGGATGCTTTGACAGGTCTGCGGGGGGTGCGGAACCGCGATGTGCAGCAAATAACCTCCGGTTCTTCGGAGTGCTTCGGAAACTGTTCGGCTCGGTCGTTCGTCACACACCCTATGGGGACATGTCGTACATCTGAAGAGCGAATTTGGTTACGAAGGTTTTTGTCGGTTGGGGGGGGGGGGGGGNCCGTCCTTTCCTCTCTATTCCATGCCTCAAACATCTCCCTGTACGTTCCATCTATTTTTCCCAGCTCAGTCACGTACACTTCCCTCTCCTTCTTGTACAACGGACATTCCGCGACTACATGAACACGGTCTTCGCATTCGAAGCCGCAATTACATTTGATGTCGTCGTCTTCGTCGTCTACCGTCCTATGTCTTCGTCGACGTTCTCGAAGGCCTATGTCCCCGGTCCTAAATTTGACCTTCAGCGTTGTTCCTGCATCAATTGGTCCATGTAGGTAATCTTTGAACCCTATTCCTTCCTTCAATCTTCCGTACACTTCTAGACCCTCCTTATCCTTGGTTTCTTTAGATTATGTTCTTCTCTCTCGGCACAAGCAACAGACATCTTCTCCTTGAACCCCTTTAGGAACCTCCGTTTCCAGCGTTTCATCTTCGTCGATGTCGAGCCCCTTCCATACGTCCTATACAACCTTGATCCATTCCGTGGGTTGTCTACCCCTCTTTTTGTTTGCCCACTTCGCCTCCCATACAATCCTCGGCAACTTCTCCTCTCCCATCCCGCACATGCGATACTGCCATGTCAGCTTCCTCGCGTCTCTTCCCGACCGTAGGGATTGGATCACCAATTCTGCCCTGACGGCTGCATCACTTGTGCGCTTGGAGCATCTTAGGATGATTTTCGCTGCTTTCATCTGCGCTGCCTCGAGTTCTTTCACTACCTTCTTATTTTCTTCCCATACTTCTCCGGCGTACTCTAGCGGCGGTACGACTACGCTCTTCAAAGCCGTCAATTTGATGCGTTGTAGCGAGGTTAGGGGGGGAGCGGGCCTTTTCTTGGACTCGCGTGCCGACGCGCTCCCCAACGCGCTCAATCCCGTCCAACCGTCGGAGCTCTCGCCCCTTCGTTTGCTTTGTCCGTTGCTCCCCCGTCCAAACTAAACCCTTGCTCCGTCCGGCAGATGCCCTGGTCTGACCCTCGCCTACTACCGGCTGGCATTGTGTATCCTGGCCGCGAGGGGCGAGCATGGCTCGAGACAGGCGAAGCTCTTGCTCGACTGCGCCATGTCCCTGGAGGGCGCGGAGAACCGACACCTCAGCGCCGGCGTTGATCTAGTGCTGAGAATACTCCGGTAGGGATCTGTTGCGTTTTTTCAATGTGTTCGTTTGGGGGGCGGTTGTGCTTGTCCAGCAGCGGGGTGGCAGCTCGATGTTTTTTCTTTCATGGTTGAGTCGCGGTCTCCAGAGAGAAAACCGGAAGGGGGAGCGTGATTTCGCTTGGCTTGTGTTGGCGACCGGGGGTGCGTGCGTGTATTTTTCCGGCGGTGGCACAAGATGGGTCCGGGTGTACCTTCGCCTGCTGCTATGGTGCCATGCCCGTAAGCTTGCGGTTTGACAATGCCATCGCTCTGTACGGATGCCACGACATGGCGACCGTTGACTCCTCGGCACGGCGGAGAAATCGATTAAATCTCGGGGATTGTCAAACGAGGGGTGTATTGCCGGACGGGGAATCAGTCGCCCCTCCTGCATCTCTCTGCCGCTCGAACATGTTCGTCTCGTCTTATCAGACGGAACAACATCAAGCACAAGACTTGAAATTGCTGGAGGCAAACCGAGCCGCAGCCAATGCTCGACGTGGATGATTTGTTTTGCCGCGAAGCACGTCAGTCCGTTTCGCACCATCACGCCCGTTTTTTGCTGTCAAGCGTCCGAATCACAGCCCCCGCCTTCTCCCCCACGTTCCCTCGCTGTGGTGCCCGTTGGCTTTGCTTTCGTATTGGCTATTTTTGTGCGCTGTTTCGGAATGCGCGGGGCCGCTTGACCCGACGATTCACCCTGCCGGCGGCAAGAAATGACGCTATTCCGGAGTCCTACTGGTCGGTGAGCTTTTCTTAACGGGATGTGTTGCTGGCGTGTCGTGCATGAAAATCCCGAGCAAAGTAGATGTACTTGGTATTGTAAATGTGTACCAATGCCCCGGTTCTATCGAACGTTAGAGGTGGCGTTTGCCTGCGGTAGTCAGCCTCTTTGGTGCGTTCGGACCCGAAATCGGGCATGCTTGTGCCGACCCTCTGGGGTGATGCTTGGCATGGAGCGAGCGCTCTGTAGGGATGGCGCCTGTGGTCGAGCGCAAGCGCAAGCAGTCGGATCTCCGGACACAAGGTTGCGATTCGCTGGGAGAGCAGCCTAGACGTGTTCGCTGCAGAGACACCCACCGGAAACGCGTCACACCCCACACAGAATAGGACCCCGCCCTCCCTTTTCCCCTGCGCGTGTGATGGTCGATTCAGGAGGACAACCCGAGGTCCCTCGGCGACCTACGCGCACTTGAAGCCGCTCTCGACCACCTGGTGTGAAACCCGCAGCCAGGAAACGTCACGCGGGAAACAGAACAACCCGTCGGACATTTTCTGGTTGATGAGTAGCGGTGTGACCAAGCAATGGTTGCTCGTTGTTGAAGTTGATTGCTCGGGAGCAGGAGGAGGAGGGGACAGAGTTACCACCTGCATATGCTTACCTGCGGTTGGTTGATTTGGAGTATTGTAAATATTTTTTTTCTTCTAGCGATTCGTCTACTACTGTACTTTGGCGCCAAGTTTTTTTTTTGCAAGAAAGGCTCGCTCACACCGGGATTCGAACCCCAACCCGACCACTGGAAGGTTTGGAGGAAACCAATTAGACCACCGGAGCGACCGAATAGTCAACCGACGAGAGAGAGCGATCGGACACCCACGTGTCGTATGCATAGCCGGAGAGGCATCTACAGCAGCAGTACCGTACCCCAGAGTACCGCACGAAGCCTTCACGGGGGGCACGGGGGCGGGGAGCGGTCTAGGTCTGGAGGCCGTTTATGCCCCAAAAGGCGACTTTGCGCCAGAAAATGCTGGGGGAAGAGATAAACAGAGAATGAGTAGGCTTATCAAGAAGATGAGCGAAAGAACGTAGATGCAGCGAATAATTGTGCACGTCCTTACTCACTTGTATTGGGGGTGTTCCGCGGTAAAGACGAATTGTCTCTCCCGCGGCGAGGAAAAACTCGAATGAAAAACCGTTTTTGGATACATGTCTAAAACGACGATTAAAAGCATTAAAAAAAGAGAAACAAAAAAAAATGTGATCGGATCGCGTTGATTGTTTTTTTTCACCGCGTTGCCGATTTCGGCGCCTCCATTTCTCCCCGGCAATCAATTCCGCTTGGCCGATTTAGAGGGGCTAGAGCCACTCAGAAAGTTGATCAGACAAAAACTCGACGTGGGAACCGAGAATCCAAAATCCCAGGAATTTTGAAATTGCTCAGCTACTGTTAGCTTTTGAGCAGCTGAAAGTCCATTGCAAATCAAAACTGGGACATTCCAACAATATATTTGTGATCCCCACCCCAATATTACCCTAATTCGAAGTTAGGAGAGATTGAATCAACATGTAGAAAGTGTTGCGGGAGGGGGGATATTTCAGTGTAATTCCTAGTAATTCCAGGTTGTCCCTGCTTTCGCGCATATATATCAGTGCGTAGCTGTATCACGGCCGCATCGATCCCGATCGAAATTCTGACGACGGATTCTTGATGTACAACACAACATTATGCTAACCTGAAAAATTTATACGATTCGGAGGCGTTTGCAACTTGCTCGGGGGGCCCGCAGACGCGATTTTCACCCAATTTTGGCCACTAATTCATCAATAAGTCATCACCACGACATCCAAATGGGAAAATAAGTATATTTTCGTGATCCTCGTGACCTAACGGATGTTGGTACAAATTTTCAGAGGTTGGGAACCATTTCTTGCTGCTCATTGAAAAACTCGTGGAAACTATTCGTCTTTACCGAGGAACACCCCATTGGCAGAGGGCATCAGTTGTATGTATTCATCAAGGAGGTACCCACGGTAGTCTACTCGCCCCAACCTGTCACCCGATGCCATGGAGTAGGCGCCAGTCAATCAATGTACCTTGCAGCTTGTCATACTTGCTTACTACCAAAATGCCAGGGTCTACACAAGATGAACTTATGAAACCGTGCGGTGATAAAGTGCAACATCCATGCAGTCTTAAATACGCATACGCACGCACTGGGTGAAAAATGGAGCATGAAGATTTTAGAAGGAAAACGAAGTTGGGCGATCCATACTCTGCATATGAATTTGACAAACATTTTAATAATTACATGATACACGCACACTACGACAACCTATTCAACATGTTGCATGTACAGCAGTAGTCTAGACTAGAGGAGTTTGTTTTGTTCCGGGTCGTCGATAATATCACAACCCCACCGTCGTATGTATCTACTGCTGTACTAGTGCATGCAGTGTGCAATGAGTACTTATCATCGAACGGCCAATGTTTCCACGTCGGTCACGGTCATGTGTGCATATGCGCGTCTCCCTGCAGCGAGCGCCGCACACCACACAACACAAACCACCCTCCTATGGGTACGACCCGACCTATGTAGATTTCTGTCGTATGCATACAAAGTCTAGTCTATTGTCTATGCGTATCACCAGATGCATACACTGCAACAACTACAGGGGCATCTCGCTGCTCTCGCATGTAGGCAAAGTACTCGCCAAGACCATCACCAACCGCCTCAGCGCATTCTGCGAAGCCAACGAAATCCTCCCGGAGGAACAGTGCGGGTTCCGGCCTGGCCGATCCACGGTATGCATGCTGTTCGTTGTGCGCCGACTCCAGGAGCTGGGGCGGAGGAGGAGAATCCCGCTCTACATGTGCTTCATCGATCTGCAGAAGGCATATGACTCGGTGGACCGGGAGCTACTGTGGAAGGTGCTGGCCCGGGCCGGGATCCCCGGGGAGATGATCGCCGTCATCCGCAAGTTCCACGTCGGAATGCGGGCCCGGGTCCGCACGGACGATGGGGAGCTATCGGACTGGTTCCCGGTCACGCAGGGATTACGACAAGGGTGCTCAAT